TTCTGTTCTAAGTTAGTGATGCAGGTACATAATATGTTTAGTAACAATGATCATGTAATGATACAAACACTTCCAGATACTCATTTTAAATCATTTTCTTTTTTTTTGTTTTTGTTTTTTTGTTTTTCTCCGGTACCGGGAACCGAACTCACGACCTTGCGCTTGCCAGGCAGGCGCTTTTGCCGCTGAGCTAAATCCCCAGCCCCTAAATCATTTTCTTCGTAAAACCTTTCTTGTGAAAAATGGTTAATGTTTTCATTATGCTAACTGTTCCTTTTATTTATTTATTGTTTTAAATGTGTGTGGTACGTGGGCTGAAACCCAGCATCTTTGCAGTAAGCCACATCCCCATCCCTTTTTGTTTTTTTTGAGACAAGGTCTTACTAAGTTTCTGTGTTGCCTAGGCTGGGCTCAAACTCAGGGTCCTCCTGCCTCACCCTCCTAGAGTGCTGAGATTACAAGCATGTTCCACCATGCCTGATGTATTTTATATAGGCAAACTTCAAGTGTAAACTCTTTTATTTTCCAAAAAAAAAGGATTTTACTGTATTTTAAAGGTTATACTTGTACAAAATTAACCATATTGAGGGCATTTTACATTTTTGCTTTGATTTGCTGCAGTATACATATAAAATAATTTGATATGTGTGGTATTTTATAATTTTACTCTAGAATCTATATTTCTCTCAAAATAAGACAAATGTTCTACAGTGCCTCCACTTGCTACATAGATTTTCATGAAATTCTATCTTATTCTAAATGTATCCTCTTTATAAGCATACCTTTCCTTTTTTGGATCCATTTGGAGATGATTTTAACTATATAAGAAAATAAGATACCAAAATTTAAGATAATAACACAAGGCCCTCCTCTGATATGAAATATACCAGAAGAATGGACTGTCTAGATTTTTAATACTGCAGGACAGCAATTAAGTTTATTGTTATGGATGGAAGTAACTAGTAGAGGCTTCTCAAGGACAGTGGAAGATACAAAGATGGGATTTAGATAAGTTTATGGAAGTTGTAGAAGAAAGAGTGACATGAAAAAACGGCATAGGCAAGAAAATACCATTTGGGAGATGTGGCAGAGGCTCAGATAGAGAAAAGGGTTTGCGGTGTGTAATAAGAGGTGAATGAGTTGATTGATGGAGGTCTTTCAGCGTGACACTAAAGCTTGAAGAGTTTCATCCTGTGATAAACTGGTAAAGGGTTCAGACCAGCATGCTGAAGTGCCCAGACAGTCTTCCACGGCTGTACAAACATACGTTTCCTGCTTTAAAAATCAGCATCTGTTGCAAGGAAGAGAAATCTTTCTTCTGGATGCAAAATATTAAGCCCACTCAACAGTGGGTTCTCAAAGAAGGGTGAGGTTAAAGAGTTACACTTTTTCTGTATGATTGGCAGACACAGGTTGGATGGAAGTGTCGCAAAGGATCCTATTGGCACAGTGCAGTAGGTAACAATAATGTGGTAGATAGGACTTCAGTCAATACATATGTCAAATGGATTTAAGTAAACATTTAAAAAATACACAGTTATTCTCTAGGAGTGAATAACTTGTAAATTCTAGAGTGAATTTAAGTGCTTCATTATTCACTCTGAAGATATTAAATTGAATACCATGCAAAGAAGTCATATTACTTAAGGAAGGTGTAAAAAATTTTCAAATTTGTTTGTTCTCTTCCCTCTGGATTTTTGCGAAATAGATCACAATAGAGTCTTTATTTCATTTTGCTTTCCTATCTAGAGCTATCTTCTATAGGAGTGGTCTCCAAAATATGTATTGACCCAAGAAATATATAAACACAAAGACAAAGCTCTCAGTTACAATTTTTACCTTAGAAAAATGAACATAAATTAATTTACTAATTTTAATAGCACTGACAGGAGTAAAAATGTAATTTATAATAACATCTGTGGAGTACACAGTCAAAAAATGCAGGCAATATAGTCAGAAAAGTAACCTACCAAACACAGAAGTAACCTACTACATGCCTGTAGTCCCAGCTGCTGGGGAGAGGGTGAGGCAGGAGGATTACCTGGGCCCAGAAATTCAGAGGCAGCCTGGACAATATAACATGACCCTGTCTCTTAAAAACAACAACAGAACTATCTGAAAGTTAACTGTGGATGGGAATTACTAACCACTTAATAGTCTACCCAAGTGGTCATTCAGGCAACATATATGTTTACAGACTGACTATCCCACATATTGCTTGGGCAAATATCATTTCATCCACTTGATTCTTGTATTGAAAAAGTTCAATAAAATTGTCATTTTTATATTGTTATTTTATAAAATTAATGAAAAAATGTGCAATTTTTAGTTATCCTGTATTTAATTGGACTGGTAAATGGTTAAATACAGATCTCAAGGGCTGTCCTCTTGAAATTGATTCAGTGATCTAAACTGGATACAATCAGTTCAACAAAACCTGCAACTGTTTATTGTTTTCAGTCAAATTTAGTAAACTGACAGCACACCTTGACTTAGCCTTCAGCGCAGTTCTAAGCCCCTCAGCATTAATGGTTTATAGGATTGGTACCTCAGCTAGCATTAGATAGCTGGAAAGATGGATTGCCCGAGATGTGATAGCAGAAGTAAGCTTACCAGTGACTCTGCTTGTGTCCAGCTTACCTTATTGCCTGTGCTTTGATCGTATCCAAACCAGCTTATAGTAGTTAAATTTCAGAGGCAGTAATATATGTGTATATATGTACAATAATTTGGGAGTTTATTTACCCTGTCAGGTTTAAAATTGATGATTAATTTTAACCTTGAAGGTGCTGCTATGGATCATCACTATATTCCACGTGTGCTAAAAAAAATTCACTGATCAGAAACGTTATACCTACTTTATATTTTTATGAATACAATAACATGGTGATATATGGAAATGCAGAAATCTTTTTATTATACTAAGGTGACTGGGTGTCCTAAAGTAAAATATTCAAAGTGTTAAAAAAAAAGTACTACAAGAAATAAAAGCTAATGTTTATTAACTGCTTACTGTGTGTCGGTCACTGTCCCAAGCACTTCTCAATGCTGCATATTATCTAATCCTCACAACAATCCTATGAATAGGTGCTTTTTATTAACCACTTTGCAGAGGGAGGGAGCACAGAGAGGTTAAGTAACTTGCCCGTTTTTATAGGAATTTGTTTGTTTGCATGCTTGCTTTAATCCAGAGACACCCTTAAATAACTACTAGGAGATAACTTATTTTCATGTTTGAACTTAATGAATGTTTTATTTGTCTGACTGGTGTTTCATTTTCTTAAAATTTGATTTCCATCTTGTTCTCTTATAAATAAAATGTCCTCTTTTTTGTGTATTTTAACCAGGAAGCCAAGCAGCAGATAGAAATCACTTTATAGTCTAACATGGAATGTTCAAACTATGGAAGAATATAACAATTTAACTCAAGAAAAGAATGTATAGCCCCCGAATATATAGTGTGATAATTTGATAAGTAAAATTTTTAAAGATGTATGTTTTTGCTTTATAACTGCTACAAAGCTTTTAGTGTCTAAAGTATTTTGTGAACACAAAGAAATTCTGACTTTTTTTGTTTTAATATACAGTTAGTATTTTAAAATTTTAACTTTGTCAGTTTCAATATCTGGTTTTTTCTTTAGGTTTCAAGCTCAACTTAGTATTTTGAAAAATAATGCTTTCACTAGGCCTTCAGTTAGTCTTTCTATACTGTCAAGTTCAGTTTCCTGAAACATTTTTAAAAATAATACTTAAAAAAATACATATTAAATCGAAAAGCATAATCAGAATGCCTGATACTTGCAACTTAAAGGAGGAGAGGTTTATTTTGGCTTATGGCTTTCAGAGAATTGAGCCCATGGTTGGTTGGCTCCGTGCTACAATAGCATGGTGGAAAGGCAAGGCAGAGGAATGGTATCTGCCTCATGGCAGCTTCAGAAGCAAGAGGAAGAGCTGGAACAAGAATTTACCCTTCTAGGTTATGCCCCTAGTGACCTGCCTCTTCAAAACAGGCCCCTGCCTCTGAACAATGGTCAGCTATAGAGTGATCATTGGATTAGTCTACTCGTGCATATAGCACCCCCGCTAGGCAGTCACCTTCTAAAAGCCCCACCTCTGCACGTGAAACTTTCGGGAGGACATTTTAGATCTAAACATCAAACAACTGAGTAAATCTTATAAATCTAAATTTAATAAATTAAATTTATTAGAATCAAACTTAGCAAACCAACTTCTCCTAAATGTTAAACCTGTTAAAATTTTATAATAATGAAAACAACAGACACTTTAAAAACACTTTACACATCCCTTGTAAAAACCCCCAAATGAGGACAAATTGTCAGTCATTAGTTTGTCTTTATCAGTTCATTAGTTTGTCTTTATCTTTAAACCTAATACAAATCATTCATATTATGGGTTAGATTTAACTCTTTAACATGTCATTTCTTCATCCCTAAACCATTATTCAAAAAGGGTGAGTAGAATTTTCCACCTTCCAGCCTTCTACCACGACTCAGGTTATGTGCAGTGTTTGGCGTAAATTCAGGGCAGGGCAGGGGACCTGTGTGAACCCACTAGCCTGAGTGTGCGTAGTGAGGAGGGCCCACCTTCCTTGCTTTCTGTAGTTAGGCTCTTGCCTGCCGTTGCCAGGAACTTTATGAGCCCTCACGTAAATTTAACTGAACATTTAATTTTCAGTCTTTTTGCAACCTGGTTCTTTTCCTAGAAAGTATGTATTCTTTAAGTTTTTCTTTTAGGTTACACTTCATCCCTTTTTAAATGGGATTGTCTAAGTCCAATTATATACACACTGTGTAACCTTTGGCATTAAGCCTGTTTGTATATTAATGGGGTTTTGTCGCCCTGCTTAGGTTACAGTAGTATCCCTTTCTCTTTTATATAGCTATCTCATTTGGCCATCAGTCATTTTATTGACAATTATGATCAAGTTTAGCTTTTAACCCCTTTAAATTCACAAAGCCAAAATGATTTTTCTCTCCTAGGAATGCCAGAATCACCTCCGCAGATATGGAAATGTGAATCTGGAACTGGTGACTCGAATCATTAGAGATGGTGGCCCATGGGAAGATCCAGTGTTGCAAGCTGTTCTTAAAGCCCAGCCAGCATCTCAGGAGATAGGTACTTCAGGAGATTCAAAATCAAAACCAACATTTGTGAGAAAAATTTCTAGAGCAGTAATAGTTACTTTTTCATTTTATAATAATAATGAAATGTACTTTCCAATGAAAAATGTTTAATTTGTTATTCTAACTGGGCCCAAAGTGATTTTTTTTTTTTTACATCAAATTAGATGCATTTATTTCTAGTGTGGGAATTGAGTGTGTTAACATCTGTACTTGATGTCACTTATTTTCAGGGAGTTTTTATCACTTCAGTTATACTTTTAAAATGTGCTTAAGTAGGAACATGACAAAGCAGAAAATCCAACACCCCCAAAAAACAAAACAGACAGCCTGTCCTGTTAAGCATATGGTATCTCCTTCCCATGGAAACCCCATGCGGGACAGGTCCCCGAGTGAACTGTTGTCTGTTCTCTAATTACGCCGGTGCTTGTAGTGCAAAGTAGATGTCTAACATAAGTATTCATTAACTGAGTGACTGGCCATGTGATGCACGCATGAGTGACTGAAGAAATTTCAGTTCCAAATATTATCTAGTAGTATGTCCCAAACTTCATCTAATAGATGTTACATTTTCTCTGATCCCTTATTACCTATGTCCTTTGATATCACCTCCTATCAGCAGTAGGTCTTTGTAGGACAAAATTTGTTTTTGAGGCAGGAAGCTTCGTTAGCTACTTTTAGTAATCTCTTTAAAATCATATGTTTCCCATATTACTAAAACATTCTGAACTCCAGAATATTTTGAATAACAAAAGCTTAGAATCTAAGCTCAGCAGTAGCGAGTAAGAATAAAAATGGAAAACACTTGAAAGTATGGAGAGAGCCTACAGAGGTGCAGTGGAAAGAAATCTAAAGAGAAAATAGAGGACCTCACAACCCTACAACCAGTCAGACTTTGGTAAGAAAAACTCTTTACACCGTAGATTGTGCAGGTTAGGACATTCCCATTTTTTGTAGGTGAATAGGTAGGATGGGTTGTAAGTAGAACTACATGTAGAAGAAGCTATGATTCCAACAAGTTTGGAGCTGTGATAAAGACAGAGATGAGGAGAACCAGTGCAAGGCAGTGGGACAGGATGCAGGGGCTAAGACTGAAAAGGACTGAGGTATGTGTGACAGGTGTGGAGAACCCAGAGATGTAGAAGTGACGAGCTTGATGTGTAGGTCTTGGGAAGGGATCGAAAGAAAAAGAGGGAGACCGTGGGAGCTGAGGAAAACAGTTGGATTACTGAGGAAAAGTAGGAAAAATCAAATATAGCAAAGGTAAGAATCATAGACTGGAGGAATGTGGCCAGAAGGCACAGGATGTAGAGTCAGAGCTCCAAAATGAGTTGAAGGAGAAGGAAGTTTAAGCTTTTTAAAGTTAAGGCTTCTCTGAGTGAGAGCTAAAAGCAACCTGTTGGCTGGTCTGGCACGTTAGGCCAAGAATCATTAATATAATAAATATTCCTCTCACAACAGCCTAGCCTACCGCACTTTGGCAGAAGCTGCTCTAGACCCTCATGGATGACACTTTCATTCACTACACATCAGTGCTTGATTATTATATATTGTAAGCGGAATTGCAAGGCAGATCTTTAAGACAAAATAAAACATTACTCATAAGTACTTTAGTAGCTACCAATTAAACATAGATAAGTAATTAAAATACTTTTGGATTTAAAAATCATGAAATAGGGATTCCAGTTTTGGCTCTGCCACTTACATATTCTTTGTCCGTGGGCAAGTTATTTGACCTCTCTGAGATTAAGTTTTGTGATCTGTGAGACAAATACTGTACTACCGGTCATAAGGTTGTTGTTAGGTCTACATAAACATGTAGTTAAGGGTGTTTATGTTCCAAAACTGTGTGAAAGTAAGTGTAAGTTAAATTGGCCTTAGTGATACATGAATATATTAATACTTATTTGACTCTATTTTTGGTTTAATTTTTATTTTTAAAAGTAATATATTATGACTCAACTTTTCATTATTTTTTTTTTTTACATTTCTCCATAATCTGACTGTGGTTTTAAGGTGATCATTTAGGAGTCAATCTTTTAATCTTACAGTAATGAAAATATTGGTACATAACCAAGACAGATTGCAATCTTAGGCAAGAAAATCACCTTAGACCTTACTAGGTGAAATACAGTTCAACATATTATTGAAGAAGAAAATATCACTTCATTCTCTTTTTTAAATTTCAGTTTTATTTTTTACTCTTTAGACTGAGAAATCAGCTGATATTTCTTGAGCACTGTTTTGGTGTGTCACTCTTTTATTTTCCAGACCCTAAAACTGAATATTCTGTTTTCCAAAGCTCTACTAAGAAAAGTACCTAATTGAGTAACTCATTAATCTAATTGATACCATTTTAGTGGTAAAGTTTCAACAGTAAAGTTTGAATCTTTTCTTGAAAGTAATAGAATGTGTTTTCTTTTTAATATAGTGAACAAATACTTAAGTTCTGAAAATCCACTGTTCTTTGAACTGCGTGCCAGATACCTAATTGCTTGTGAACGCATACCTGAGGCAATGGCTCTTATTAAATCCTGTATCAATCACCCAGAAATCAGTAAAGACTTGTACTTCCATCAAGCACTTTTCACATGTCTGTTTATGTTACCTGTAGAAGAGCAACTATTCCGGCAGGTATTGAGAACTATTTTTTTTGCCTGTTACCTTTTTAACATTTCCAAAAAGGGAGAATAGCTTGTTATTATTGATTTCCTTTTACAGTAATACCAGTTATTTAAAAGATCATATTATCTAGATGTGCTCTCTTTTGGCACCATTCTTTACGTTCACTTTAAATTAGTAGAATCTGATACTAACAAGTGATAAAATGAATAAAATACACTCATTAAGAAGTATTATTCAAATTTTTGTGTGACAGAAGAGGTCAGATAAAATCTGGGAAGCATTATCATTTTGCTTCTTAAAGTCCTGAGCAGGGCATGGTGGTGCACACCTCTAATCCCAGCACTCAGGAGGCTGAGGCAAGAGGACTGCTGTGAGTTTGAGGCCCATCTACAATACACAGTCAGTTCAAAGCCAGTCTGGACTACATAGAGAGACCCTATCTCTAAGTAAGTAAATAAATAAACCCACAAACAAAGGAGTTAAATACCCACATACATTTTTTCCCCAAGATGAAAGAATGTATCCTATCATTGACCTTACCTAAGGCCATGGCATTAATGAGAATACAAATACTTAGTATAAAATGTAGATGCTATACAGTGAAACTGTGAAACCCTAGAAATATTCTATATAATTGATCATGTCTTTAGAAGAAAACTAGAAATCTGTGTTCTTTCTTCTACATGTTTACTTTAAACATTTGATATAACTAGCTTTTTAGACATTTTTGAATGATGTGAATTTTTCCATTCCTCCTACAGCATTTATTGAAAACTGATTGTAAGAGTGGAATTGATATCATCTGTAACACTGAAAAAGAAGGCAAGACTGTATTAGCTTTGCAGCTTTGTGAATCCTTTCTTATTTCACAGCTCCAGAATGGGGATATGTACTGTATTTGGTAAGTGTTCTACTACAGACATTGAAATGCAGAGATGGAGAACAGAGGGAGAATTGATTAGCAGAGGTTTGGACTGTATATATTTTTTAAAATCGTGTAAAAAATTTATCAGTAGTACATTATTGATAAGTATAGTTTTTTAAAAAAATTATCATATTCCACTAATTGATACCTTAAATTTTATTATGTATTATAATGAAACATTTCTTTATTTATTTTTAAATTTTTCTTTTGAGACAGGGTCTCACTGTGTAGCCCATTCTGGCTTCCAGTGCACAGTGATCCTCCTGCTTAAGCCTCCTGAATGCTGACATTACAGGCGTGCACCACACCTAGCTGAAACAGTCATGTTTGAAATTCAGTTTTAAATTTGGAGCATGAGTTTTTTAAAACATTTGAAAGACTAAAAGTTGTTAGGATATGTGAGGTAGCAAGTTACCTTGCAACTGTCTAATTTAAAATGCGGTGTAAGAGTATTTTCAGTAAATGTAACCAGGAGTATAATTACAGGATTCTAACAATTTCTCTGCCTCCTTTCCTCCAGGACTCTCTCTCTCACACTCACACACACACACCCACACATACACACACACACACAGTTTCTCTCTCTCTCTCTCTCTCTCTCTCTTTCCCCCTACTCTCCCTCCTCCCCTTCTCCCCCCCTCTTGCTCTCCTTCTCCCTATCCCTCCTTCTACCTACCACGTTGCAATTTCATTAATTCTTAAGGGAAGAGCATAATATCAGAAATGATCATGTGCTCTGTAAACTTTTTGAAATAAATGACTTGAATTTTAAACTCTCATAATGAACAATAGCCTGAAGGCATACAGTTCCAGGTGATACTTAAGTATTCTTGTTTTACAGATTGAAATCTTCAGAGACAGAGTCCTATAGTGAATTAACAGTAGAACTGGGTCTAGAAACAAATACACTGTTCTTTGAGGGAAGTATACTTTTAGATTATGCTAATTTTTCTAAAGAGTATACCATATCAACTGCAGTCGCAGATAGGGAGGGTGTGGATGTGTATACCTGTAGTCCCAGCACTCCGGAGGTTGAGGCAGGAAGATGGACATAAGTTTGAGGCTAGCCTTAACTAGAAAGGGAAACCCTGCCTCAAATAACCAAATAAATTAAAAGAAAATAAAATTGTTTTCAGTGTATTACCATTTGTTGATATTCAGTTACTCTGCAGTGAACCATAGTTACAACTGTTAATAGTAGATCTTGTCCTATGAGCGTAAGAATGTTCCCTCCTCTTAGCTTTGTTAAACTATTTAAATATGGTATCTTTAATCTTTTTATTCATAAATAACTAGGGACAAGTTTTTTTTAAAAAGGAAAAGAAAATATACTTCATTTTCTTTTTCTCTTAGCTAACCAATTTCTGTTCTTTAGTGGGGAACCTTAAAAAGGGAACAGTGCCTAACTTCTGGTTCCTGACCACAGAAATTTAAGAATAGAAGTGGGTGTGACTCAAACTGCCTAATAAGAAGGGAGTCTTTATCTTTTTAAGCCTTTCCTTGTGAATAGTCTTGAGTTCTGATAACCTGCCCTCCTTTTTCTCATATCTGTCTTCTATGTTTCTGAACGCTAGGGTTGTTTTTCTTGCTGTTAAAAGTTAGGTTTTTACTGTACATTGAAGAGCAGAATTCTTTTCATCCTTCAAGGTCTATATTGTCTGTTTCGTACAGGCTTGCTCTTCATTTCCCCCTTTGTGGGCAGAACCAAATCCAGAGTCCAGCCAAGTTATATCTGCAGAGCAAGCTACTAACTCCATTTCTGCTTCACTATCATAATAATAGTAACCATAATAATGATAGTAACAGCTACTAACATGTAATGAGTGTTTCATGTATCCTGTACTTTATGCATTATCTCATTTAATGCCACATTCTTATGGCATAGATAATATTGTATTTAAGCCATTCTGTTAGGAAATAGTGAAGTCAATACCATATCTGGGCAGCTTGACTGACCTCAGCTATTAAAATTATTTATTATAAATGGGTCAAGTTTAGGGGAAAAAAACATACATTGTAAGTGTGACTGTAGACTGTTACGGGTTTTTTGTAGAAACTAGATAATTTGATGATTCTCTTAGTAATTAGTAGAATCTTAAAGCTACCTGGGAAGTATATTGGGCATTGATTGGATGCTATATTTTCTAAAGGGCGGTCTGTCTAAAAGAAAATTTAAGTTTCACTAAACCTGCTCTTCGAGCCAGGAAAGGTGGTATATGCCTGAAATTCTAGCACTAGGGAGGCTGAGGCAAGAAGATTGCCATAAATTCAAGGCCAGCCTCAACTAGTGATGAGCCCCTGTCTCTAAAACAAAACAGCCTGCCCTTTGGACTTCTAAATAAAGACTACCAGTGAGTTTCTTATCTTTTTTTTTTTTTTTTGGTACTAGAAATTGAACTCAGGACCGTGTGCTTGCCAGGCAGGCACTTGTGCCATTGAGCTATCTCCCCGACCCTACCAGAGGTTTTGAGGATAATTTTTCCTGTTTGGTTTTTTTGTTTTGTTTTCCTCCAGAATCCAGTGTACAAGTAAAACTTGAGATTTTATTTTGTACATTCATTCAAAATGGAGTTTTACAACTATAATCTGAGATTTCTGCTTTGGCTACTATAAGGCCTGAAGTCTGTCAAGTAGCCCTTTCCTGGTGAATCTGTTAAGATCATAGGATATATATTTGTTTTCTAAGTTTTCCCCTGGCTTAACAGAGACAAAAGGAAATAAGGTATTTGTACTTAAAAAGAAGAAGAAAAACTGTGCCCTAAGAATATCTGTAAGGAGCCTCAAATTTATCTTTTGGAAAACATTTCAAATATAATTAGTATGCACTTTATAGTACTGAATGGAATATCTCTCATGATTTCCAACTATCATGCTTTGTTCGAAAATCTATTGCAGAGATATGCTTTGTCTTCTTCAGTATAGTCGATCTGTTTGCCTTCTATATCCATATCACTTTTCTAAATGAAAATACTTATTCAGAAAGTTTGGCATCATTTTTTATCTTAAACCACGTGTACAATTTCTGTTAATATATTTCCTTAAGAGCCTTCAGCATTTAGGAGTACAGTAGTTACCATATTATCAGGCTGAGAATGCAGCTCAGTCATAGAACATTTGCCTACATGTAAAGGCCCCGGTATTAATCTCCAACACCACCACTATAACAATAAAAAAAATAAAATTTACTGGATTATCATTTTACAAATATTTATTGAATAAATCTCATTGTTTGAGACTATGAAAATTACACAGATAATAAATAAAACAAACTAATGATTTACTAAACATCAGTATATACCAGAATTTACACCTAGATGTTTTATCTAATTCTTTTAATAAAGATGTTGAATAAAATAAATTGAACATTGAATTTTTACTTTATTTTGAAATTTTACTCACTACATCAGTATCAGTAGTTATCTCTAATCATAGCTCTTTTGATAACTTCTGAAACCAAAGAATTTAATGAAATAAATATATCTTTAAAATTGTTTTCAAGCTTTAAAATGTTTCAACACTAGAAAAAAGATGTACAGAAATAATTTCAATTTTTACATATAAAATAACCAGATTAAAGAGAGAAAAGTTGCACAGCTACAGCTAGTACAAAATGAAGTTGAGATTTACATGAGTTAAGTTTGCAGTTAAAAACATCAGTGTCTAACTTGCATAGGGAAAAGGAAATATTTATTTCAGGCACAATGGGTTGTGACATAAGCCATGAGGGAAGGGATACAGCTGATCCTCAAAGATACCTGTTTGCAGGGAAACTGAGACTCACATTTTCAAACCTTTGTTTTCTTTGTTGTTTTTCTTCATGCTCTCCTACTGCACACCAGTGGTAATGCCAATGGTATCCAAGCTTCAGAGTTGAGAACAGCCCAGCGATTCTGGGCTAATGGGGTCAGGCTCCCACTCGTGAATTAACCTCTTAAGGAAAGAAGTGACAGTCACATAGGAAACATGGCCACTCTTGTATGTTAGGGTTACTCCCAAAAAAGAATGGCTCGTTCTTGACTGGGCAGTACCACTCCAGTTAGTGTAAAGCGCTACTGAAATTTAGTTCTGTTACTGCCAATCTCATACCATTGCCACTACCACAACTGTATAATGTGTCATTCAGGAGATTTACAGTATGGAAATAGGACCTATAAAATATACACAGAAGCATATGAAATTAGTAAGAGAGATAAGATGTATTCTGAAGTAGTATCACTTTAGTTTGGGGTATTCATGATAACTTTCATGAAAAGACACTTGATAGAGCCTTTCAAAGATAACATTTTCAAAATGAAATACTTTCTAAGTGGAGCAACCGGAATAAGCGTATGTGAGAATATATGAGACGCTTTTACTGACAATGAGGTGACCAACCTAAAAGAATATCCAAGATTCAAATACTGTTCTTTCTTTCTTCAGAACATGTTTCAGTTGCTATTAATACTAAAAAAATAGCATACTGAATAAGCACTAAATAGGCTGTAAACAGATAAAGTTAGCAACTATTGTACAAGTATGTGTGTAAAATTAAAGAACACTGAGAAAGCTGAGAGCAAAAATATTTGAAACAAGTTAGGACCTAAGAGGGTAGTAGAATGTTTAATGTCACTACTTTGATCACTAGGAAAAGATCATCAATTTATAGTAGTATGATTGCTTTTCAAATGTATTAATGTGATGGGAAGAAATCTAAATTAAAATATCCAGGCATGGAAAACAAGGGAAGAAGTTGGAGCTATAGATTTGGAAAGAAGGTATTTAACCTGGTGAATGCTCTAAAGTAGTGGAGGAGGGGGCCTGCAGCTGCTGACACTTAAGGAACACCTATACAACTAGTGGAATTCTGGTTTTAACTTCATATATGTTTCTTATATGTTCTTATATCATCATGTGTTTCATGTTTTCTGTACTGTCTCAAATAGACTATGGGCCTTCATCATGGTAATCAAGATGTCTTAAGTTTTTTAGGGGGGAGGCAGGAAGTAGGAATTAGGGTTTATTGATGGTGATTATTAAGCAGGGGCCAACAAAGTGGATATCCTCACAAGTGCAGGGCCTGACTCTTGACCATGACGAGGGATGTATTTGACTCCACAGACGTCTAGGATGAGTCCCTACTCAGCCACTATGTCTTCAGATTCATCGGCATTAAACTTGGTAAAGCCCCACTTTGAGATGTGATCTTTGATGCCTAGAGTGTCAGTCACATGCTCCTTATCCTGCAGCTTGATGCAGATGGACATAACTTGGCCAGTGTGATTCCTGCCAGCTGGAGCCTAGCACTTTCTAAAAGCACCACGCATACCTGTTTGGAGCCCTAGATTGGGAACAACTCAGGTTCAAAGACCTGAAGATCCACTGAACTGCCCTGTTTCCAGTGGACTCTTAGGATAACCCAAACAATCAACATACTAAGTACACAACCAAGAATGTTGGTGTTTGCAGCTATGGCATACCAGGCTCCTATAAAGTAAGGAGTCAAGTAAGCTTAAATAGCTTCAGATGGCCACAGATTTAAAACCTATATTGCTGGTCTCAAAGTACATGCTCAGTAAATCACCTTTAAAAATTTTTCATCAACTATTTTAGTACTTTCAGATTATGATACTTCCATGATTTTTATGACAAGTTTTAAAGAATTCTAATTTGTTAAAATGATACCTTTAATCTTAGTACATGAATTATATCTTATGATTTGCCTTTGTCTCAAAACCCACTGTTCCTAGCCTTGTTTATCCAATAACCTTGGCTATGTCTTAGAAAAAAATCTGCTGGCAAAATACTTCAAATAATGTGTAATTCTTTCATGACTTTATAAGATCTGATAAAAAGTAAAGTGAACGTTGCTGCCCAGGGCATCCAAAAGAAAGGTAGGCTCATAAAACATTCTGGTGTGTCCTAGTCCACCTCATTCATTGGATCTGGCACCATGCCACCTAGAACTCGGCCCCAAAATCAAAATGACCATGAATGTTAAAGGTTTAGAATCAATTCCAGAAATAGATGTAACCATGACAGCACAACTAAAGACACTCACTAAAAGGGGCTTTTAGAACTGCTTCAGAAAGTGGCAAGAACTATGGAATAAGTGTGCTCAAAGCAAGAGGGAATCTTTTCAGGGGGAGTAATGGCAGTATGCCTTTTATTGTAATTAAATTTTTAAAAATTAAAATAGTTCATATTTTTCAGTCATATAAAAGCAAATGATCTAAAACAATTTCACAATCAATATATGATATAATTATACTTTTAATCTGTATTACTTTTGATATATTAATTGAAATAGCCTAAAACACTGGTTTCTAAATTTGCAAGTATGATATTACAGGCCAAAATTATATCATCAATATTGGTACACTGGGACTAAAGTGTGTTTTTATCCAATAATAGAGCTGTTGTAAGTGTACTGGCATGTAATTGTAATTTGTTACTTATCATTGCAAAACTGTACATTTTGTCTTTTTTTCCCCAACTTCTCTTAGTCTTACCTCAGTAGCAGAAATATGTTGGGGATTCACATAATACATACTTACTTCCACTTTGTGAATATCATCGCTTCTCGGCCTTTTGGCTAAGATCAAATGCATTTATTTTGTGAATGTCCTAGCCAGGGCGCTATAAAATCAGGAAAAGATAGCTAATGTCTGTATTTTAATAAATTGTAGTTTTGATATTTCTCTTTTTTTTTCATTTACAGGGAGTTGATTTTCATATGGAGTAAACTACAGCTTAAATCTAATCCTTCAAAACAAGTTTTTGTAGATCAATGCTACCAGCTTTTAAGAACAGCAACTAATGTGAGAGTCATATTTCCTTTCATGAAAATCATTAAAGACGAGGTAAATAGGATATATTTATCCCTTAAATTTTAAATTAAATTCAAATGACAGTTCACTGAAACATCAATCTCTTATAAAATTTGATTATAAAATTGAAAGTAAGGAGGATTTTAAGGCCACGTTCTCCATGTATTACCTCCTCTCCCCAATTTCCAACATAATCCCAAAGATATACATAAAGAAAATAACTGAAATAGAGAAAAAAGCCAATTTATTGTTAATTAAAATTTAATATGGGAACGATTATTTCCATAAGAAGCTATTACCCATTTTTATGGTTAAATAAGCTTGTCATTTTTAACATGCTAAGTCCCATTTGCAGAATCTTAATTTACAAATGAACTTTATATGTAATATATATTTACTGTAACAGAAACTTAGCTCATATTGCTAACTGGTGATTGTGTCAAAAAGAAAAATGAATTCTGAGATGTTTTTAAAACTTAAGGACAGTTTTTAAGGGGTTTATCTGAAATAATTACAAAGATTCTTTACCTGTTTTTTAAAATAGTCCTCAACCAAATTTTTGCACAAACCGTTTTATTTACTTTATCGTTACTGGAACAAAATACCTGACACCCACAATTTAAAGGAAGGGAGATTTATTTTTGGCTCACAGTTTAAGGAGGTTTCAATTCATAGCTGGCTCCAAGTCAGGGGAGGATGCCAGAGGAGAAACAGATAAACATGTCTTCAAACAGCAAAGGGAATAAGGTAGGAGGAAGGGTGATAGACTCCTCTAGGCCATGCCTCCAATGACCCACCTCCTCCAACCAGGCTTCACCTCCCAAATCACATTCAGCTATAAACTCATCCATTGATGAGTATTATACCCCCATGATCCAATCATCTCCCCAAATCCCCACCTGTGAGCACATGAGGTTTTAGGGGGATGTATAAACAATAGAAGTCCACTCCTGGCCCCTCCAAAAGACATCCCTATGCAAAATGCATTTCATCTATTTCTCAGTTGCCAAAGTTATAGGAGTTTTCAGCATTGCTAAAAACTTGTAAGTCCAGTCTCCTCTGAGATTTAAGTAAGCTCTTTGCTGTGAGCCCCTGCACAAATGAAAAGAAAGTTAAACACTTCTAACATACAATGGCACAGGATAAGCATTCCCACTCCAAAAAGAAGAAATGAGAAAGAAATGTGACTAAAGTAAGACCTTACCAGAGCAAACATTAAATCCCCTAATTACATGTCTAGCATTCAGGTCAATCTGTGGTGAGATGTAAACGCCGAAGGGCTTGGGTTTCCTCAACCCTATGGTCTCTCTCATGGGCCACTCTTTTTACTCCTCACAGCTTTCCTCAGGTATTACATGTTCCTGGCTTTTCCAACATCCTAGGTCTCCACTGCATGGACTCCACCCTCACAGCTTCATGCACTGCCCTCCCAGGGGCACACTGCCTAGCCTCCCAGGCCTCCTTCTGAAATTTGGGTGAAAGGCTTCCTGACCCCACAACTCTTACATTCTGCATGCATCTAAAATGAGCATCATGTGGATGAAGCTAAGGTATGCCACCAGGTGGAGCAGTAGTTGCGCCCTTTTACATCTTGCTGTTGGCTGCAGAGACCTCAGTGTGCCTGAATGGCTGAGCATGCTGAACTACATTTGGGGGAATTAATTCCCATTCACTAGGTTGTTGCCTTTCTGGAACATTGTGCCCTAGGACTCTCTTCTCAAAGCAAAGCCTCACCTTTTCAGTTTTGACCAATCTTTTCTATTGTCCTGTCCCAAAGTACTTGTCTTTTTTTGTTTTGTTTTGTTTTTTCTGGTACCGGGAATCTAACTCAAAACCTTGAGCTTGCCAGGCAGGCACTGTGCCACTGAGCTAAATCCCTAACCTCAGTACTTGTCTTTTTAATGCTAATCTTTTCAGCAGCCAAGATCTCTGCTCCATCTTTAAAGGCTACAACTCTACCTGAGCTTCCTTTCTGGCCAAACTTAAAAATTCTTACATCATTTTGCTGGGCTATTCAATAGTTGGCCAAAAGCCCTACGCAGTAGCCATACCAGTGCCTCAACATTAGACTGCCTTGAAATTTCTTCTCTCAGATTATCTGCAGCCCTTAATTTGTTTCTTTCAGTGTTGGGGAGGACAAAAGCAAAATTAGACAGATTGTCCCCATGATCTAGTCATCTACCAAACTGTCCCCATGATCCAATCACCTCCTGAAAGCCCCACCTGGGAGTGCATGAGGCGTTAGGTGGACATACAGGTATAAACCATAACAAGCTATTGCAAATGAGTGTAATTCTACATAGAAATCTTTATGTATACTTGAAAGCAGATCTTACAGGTTCTTTAACTTTTTATCTCAAATATTAGCATGAATTTAAATACAAAGATAAAAAGTCATCCTATATTTTCTAGTTCCATTTAATTGAATCTTTAAAAGTTTGTTACTTTTAAATATGTAAGGACCTTAAACAAATAAATAAATAAATAAATATGTAATGACCTTAAGAGCTTGTTTGGAGGGCCTGACAGAGGAGCACAGCTACTCATATATCCTTGTTGGAGGAAACGGAACTCCTCATTGGGGGTGGTTTTCCTCTTTGACCAAGTGTGCAGCTTCAGGAAGGATGTACATGTGACAGTGAGGTCTCGGGGACATCTGCCTAGCTGCATCAATCGATCAGCCGAATCAACTCTGGTGATCAGCGGGGTGACAGATGTCGCAGCCATATTACCTTCACATCCATTTTTAAATGTGTAGGGCAGCATCAATTAAATATGTGTTTTAGTTTTTTCCTGTAACTTCCTCCCAAAATTAACAAGACTTCGAATACAAAGACAGTTCAGATATGTAAAAAGGCAGCCATTAAATAATACCTTTTAGGTTTTTAGTATATTTATGGCATTTATCACATTCATTATCACATTACTCACTAGATGTATGACCAAATAGTGATCATATTCCCATGACAAGAGTTAGTGTTATATGGGAGGGTTTAAAAAAAAAATTCTAATTTCTTTTACTAACTGCATCTGTATCATCTTTATTAAGTACCAAAATGTGGTTCATATGTATTAGCAAAACCTTTCCCTCCCAGCAAAAAAGGGGAAACTATGTTACCAAACACTTACTAATACATGATGTTCATCAGGATCACCTGTAAAACTTTATCTTTAAAAATAAGCATGTGTCTATATCTATATGTGGACATACATCTATATCTATATATGTATATCTATATACGCGAGATTCTCATTTCCACCAAAAATTGAAAGAGATTATTACACAAAATTTACATTGTGCTGATTATTATACATCTTGTTTATTTTCACATGTCTAGTCAGCCTAAAGTTATGTTATATAAAGAAAATGTCATAAAAATGTGATTCTTAACATTATGGTCTCAAGATGCATCCATTTTCCTACAAATGACTACAGTTTTTCTTTCTTTATAGCAAATTAGTACTCCATTGTGTGTAAATATCATATTTTCTTTATCCATTCATTGCTGATGGACAGATAGATCGTTTCCAAGATTTCGCTGTTATGATTTGTGCTACAGTAAACATGGATATATATGTATCCTTGTAATATGGTATCTTTAAGTCTTTCAGGAAGATACCTAGAAGGGGAATACCTAGTTCAATGGAATTCCTAGTTTTAGTTTTTTGATGAATCTCCATACTGACTTCTATAGTGCTTATACTACTTCATGTATCTACAAACAATGTAGAAGGTTCCCTTTCCCCACAGCCTTACCAGCATTTGTTATTTGATTTCTTGGTGATGACAAGCTTCAGTATCACTTCGTTTCTCTTAAACCTAGATTATAAATAAAGAGCAAAATAAAAGATTAAGTAATAGGAAGTATGAAGATAGAACTTTTTCAAATGGGAAGCGGATCAAGAGATGGAGGGAAGGATAATGAAGGGAGGGAAAGGGAATGTAAAAAAGGAATTAATATGTGTTAGTACATGTACCTACTCTACACAAGAAATGTAAATGTGTCCTATAAACATGTACAAAAAACATTACAAATATGATTCTTAATAGTTTGCATTCTACAAAAAATGTTTTTATCTGATGGAATATCAGTCATGTGCCTTAGTAATGTTGAAAGAAGCATAGTTACAATACTGTGTCAGTTCAGCAAGAGACAGTACATATGGCATATGTGAGAAGGCTCCACAGAGGAAGATACTTTAAGATGGGTTATGGATGATGGATGAGGACAGCACTAACATTTCTAGATGGTTTTATAGTTTACAGAGCACTTTTTTGTTATTGTAGTGTTCGTGTTTCACATCCAGTGACCTTAATAGGGTAGCAGAGAAGCAAGGTGAAGTGAGTGGGAGGGGAGACTAATTGGCGAGATTATTGGGGAGGGGAATGGCTATTGGAGATCTTAAAATGAACTGAATACATCACCATAAGTTGCAACTTCAGTTCATAAATGTCCTGAAACCATTAAGGAATCAGGTAAGGATGCAGTCTGTTCCCTTTTTTGATGATCTTACAGTTTTTAAACTTGAACATCTGAGTATATTCCAATCTTATAAGTAAAGATAGAGGATACAGATATAACTGGAGAATGACAGCAAAGAAATTTTGTGGTGAATCAGTGGATTTTGAAATTGTTATACCTGGAAAATTTGGGTCAGAAAGTTAATCACAATAGATACAAAAATTTGAATTCATAAATCCAAACCTGAGATGATGGATTTATAGGAGCAGACTAAAGTCACCGAAATAGATCCGATTCCCACTCATTTTGCAAACATTCAGAGGTTGCTATGTGCCAACTTCTATGCTAACCATAGGAAGACACAAAAAGTGAAACAGTGTGCACAGTGATTTAGGAATTCAAAGTGAAAGTTAGGGCCAAACACAGTTGGTTTCAGAGTAGAACTGAGTAGAACTGATTCTCAAATAATAGATAGGAGATCAGTACGAATTTACTAGCTGGATAAAGTGGGAATAGTATGTGTAAAGTTAAGATCTACTTGTGTAACTGTATGTAGTTAAACAGAGATACATAACATGTTAAGGAACTATGACACGAAGCTGGGAAGTTAGCTATAATTAATAAGCATATGCAGGCAGTATGATTTTAAAGACATTCTAGTATGTTGTCCTATTCAAACAAGTATTTAGATTATTCTAAACTATTACAGGCATTATTTATAACATGAACTAAGATGGGTCAACAACAGAGTTACAAGTAGAAAATAAGCTAATACAGTTCTCTTAGAGCCTTTAATAAAAATTTTCAAGCTTGAGTAATTTTCAGATAATTCTCAGTAGGCTTATTATTTTGGTTCTTTATTAATTTTGGAAAGATAATAATTGCCCCCTTCTTGAGTGGCATATTCCCTCCCTTATTTGGATAAATAATGTTCCTGAAGGGGCCAGGGATGCAGCTCAGTGTTACAGCATTTGCCTACCATGAAGCCCAGGGTTTGATCTCAAGTACAAAAGAACCAAAAATATTCAGCCATCCAAAAAATAATATAGCATTATAAATGCTTCCATAGTAGTTTTTTAAACTCAGTTATTTCTTAACAGAAAACTGTTATATGTTAACCACCACAAATTTATCAAGCATTTTGTATTATGGTTAGTAATGTCAACTTGGTAATTCAATAAAGTATAAACTAAAATGCTGTCTATTCTGGATTACTCTTGCTTAAAAAAGATATATATTAAACAAGAGTTAATGCCATCAATTCTTCCATTCAGTATTTAGAATACTGTGTGCTGAAAGTTTTCTTTTAAAAAGTAAAGCAGTTAATATCATCTATTTTTTTTTATAGGTTGAAGAAGAAGGTTTGCAAATTTGTGTTGAAATATGTGGTTGTGCTCTACAACTTGACCTTAATGATGATCCGAAAACTAAATGTCTAATTTATAAAACAATTGCACATTTTTTGCCAAATGATTTGGAAATCCTCAGGATTTGTGCACTCTCAATATTTTTTCTTGAGCGCTCCTTAGAAGCTTATCGTACTGTTGAAGAGCTTTATAAACGTCCAGATGAAGAATACAATGAAGGCACAAGTAGTGTTCAAAATCGTGTTCGTTTTGAATTACTTCCAATTTTGAAAAAGGGATTGTTTTTTGATCCTGAATTTTGGAACTTTGTAATGATTAAGAAAAACTGTGTTGCATTACTGAGTGACAAATCAGCAGTTAGATTTCTAAATGAAAGTACACTGGAAAATTCTACAGATAATCTAAAAAAGACAGCGGGACAGCAAAATTTAGCTGACGAGCTCGAATGTCTTACAGATCAGAGCACTGCAGAGTACGATCCTGATGATATATCTGTAATGCAACCTAAAGGTCTTGTTAATACAAAGAAAAACCTTGCAGCTCTTAATACTTCCAAAGTAGATCACAATGTCCCAAGGCATCGTTGCATGTTATGTAATAAGGAATTTCTTGGTGGTCACATTGTAAGACATGCCCAAGCTCATCAGAAGAAAGGCAGTTTTTCATGTGTAATATGTGGTAGGAAATTTAGAAACCGAGGACTTATGCAGAAACATTTAAAGAATCATGTTAAGAAGATACAAAGACAGCAAATTGCAGCTCAACAGGATGATCAGGAAATCACTGTTTTGGAAGAAATAAATTGTTCCAGTTCCTCCATTCAGTTTGAAAATGGGAATTCCAATAACGATTTGGAAGTAGAGACTCTGACTGCTTCCACTGATAGAAACAAAGAACTCACACCTGAGCACATTACTGAATTCATTGAAATTCCCATAGGTGTATCAGAAGGTATAATTGAAAATGACAGCCCTGAAACTTCTTTAAACAGTGTCTCAGAGCCTTTACCTCCATGTGAGGGTGACTATGAGGAAGAAGATGAAGAATGTGATTATGAAGAAGAGGATTATGACCTGAATCAAGAAACTTCAGTACTTCATAAAATCAATGGAACTGCGTGCCATCCAAAAGACATCTATGCTACAGATCAAGAAGGAAACTTTAAGTGTCCTGCTCTTGGCTGTGTTAGGATATTTAAAAAAATTGGATTTCTAAACACACATGCTAGGACCGTACACCCAACTGATTTAAATGTGCGACAAACAGTAATGAAATGGAGCAGAGGAAAATGCAAATTTTGCCAAAGGCAGTTTGAAGATTCTCAGCATTTTATCGATCACCTAAATAGACACAGCTATCCAAATGTGTACTTCTGTTTGCATTTTAATTGCAATGAATCCTTTAAGTTGCCATTCCAGCTGGCCCAACACACCAAAAGTCACAGGATATTTCAAGCTCAGTGCAGTTTTCCAGAATGCCATGAGCTTTTTGAAGATCTTCCTCTGCTCTATGAACATGAAGCCCAGCACTACTTAAGTAAAACACCAGAATCATCTGCACAGCCAAGCGAAGCAGTTCTTTTAGATGTTTGTACAGACTCGAATCCTGATCATCTGGAAACAGACTCATTTAGTAATGAGAAACAAACTGTTAATCTGCCAGTTTCTACTAGCAAATCAAGAAAAGATTCTGCAGAACCAAAGACATGTATAGAAAAGATGTGTTTGGAAAAGAAAACAGGAAGTTTAGTTCAGAACGGAAATAAACATTCTGATGACATTGTTTCAAATATAAGCTTAATAGACCAAAAGATGCCTGACACAGAGCCAAATTCTGAAAATAGTTGTAGTATTAGTGATTCGGTCAATGGACACAGTGAAGTAGAACAAACATCTTTAGTTTCATCAGATCCTGTTATGAAAACTGATATAAACAGAAGGACAGAAAATGGTTCTATTTTGCCTAGTGTTGTATCACAAGAAAGTAATACCTTGCCAGTATCTCAGGCACCGTCCAGACCAAATCTTACAAGTGAACATACTTCATATGGCTTAATTTTAACAAAGCCATATGTCAGACCATTGCCTCCCAGTTACCTTGATGAGCGGTACCTTAGTATGCCAAAACGCAGAAAATTTCTGACAGATAGAGTAGATGCCAGTTCTGATCAAGATAACATTTGTAAAAAGTCAGTAAAAAGATTAAGATGCGGCAAATGCCTGACCACCTACTGTAATGCAGAAGCACTTGAGGCTCACCTTGCACAAAAGAAATGTCAGACACTCTTTGGATTTGATTCAGATGATGAAAGTAAGTCTTCTATGTTCTCAGTAGATAAATCTGTAGAAGTAGAAAGTGCCATAAATATAACAGGTCTTAGTGAGGCTAAAAAAATTAACATTTGTGTAGCAAAGATGGTAAAGCATTACCCCAGATATTATTTTCTTTAATCTATAATTACTATGACATAATATTAGTATTTCTGTTTTATAGATCAAATAACCAAAATTCACAAGTAATTGCATAGGGATGAATTTGTGGAAGCTGGAACTTGGACACAGATTTTTCATCCATTTATCCTATTTTTTCACTGCATCAGAGGTTTTTCTTCATTCCAGGTTTCATATAATAAAAACTCTAAGAATAAATAATTTTCTTAGAAATGATTTGTTTCTCTGTATACCACAATGTAAATTTTCTATTGCAAAAGTATAAGTGAGAAAATGAAAAATAATTGAAAAACAAGAAGACCAAAAGAGCTTGTCTTTTTACTGATATCCTTTGAGTGACGGTATAAGTTGAAAAAAAATTTTTTGACTTAGAATTCCAGTGGAATATCTGTAAAATTTGAATTAACAGACATGTTCTGTTTTACAGGTGCCTGATAAAAATGTTTCAGAAAGATCTGTCGATCAAACAGTAGTGTGAATAAAAGCACTACAAGAAAATGCATCATCAGTTTGCTATTTCCCTGATGGCCTTAATTTTAGAGCGGTCTCGGATTACTAAAGATAAAGACAAAGCACATTTTCTAGAATGAACTTGCAGAGGAGATGTGCTGGCTAAGACTCCAAAAGGGTTATATAACTCCCAAAGTACCAGTTATCCAGAAAACCACATTTTTTAGAAGTGTATGATGATTAATAGCAGCATGTTCAGTTTTGCTTGTGTGAAAACATGTTTGGGCAACTAGTCAGAAAGGAAAACCAGCTGTGGCCTTATAAAAAGGAAAAAGTTAACCCATTATAAACAAGGAGATGAAAGGGGAGCTGGTTTACAATAATAAACAATGTAAAGCATTCTATATATGCAGTTTGTTTTGCTGTCATACATAATCAGGTTATGTCCTCCCTTTTGGTCACACGTGTTTTAGGAAACGATTGCTATTTGGTTTGTGATACGAATTAGAAGCTGATACATAGAAATAAAACTTAATTTATCACCATGTTATCTATTGAAGATCATATTTTCAGATGATAGGTCAGAACTCAAAGAATGGCATGGAAGCATTGAAAATTAACAGAACAATGCTTTACTAATAAGCTCTTGTTAAAATCTTGCATTTTGTAATACAAATACAAGTGTTTGTAACACAAATGTTTGTAATGCATATCAGTGACATTTAAAAGGCAGCACTGTCAAAGTGGAAAGTACCATCGGTAACTTTCTCAGGGTATGGGAGGAACCTGAGACCATTGTAGGCTGTATAGTTGAAAGAAAACACTGATTTGCAAATTCTTCAATGTGAATAATGGTTAAAGCACACTGGGATGTTTCTTTTCCTATATAGTGTTAGGACATTGCTTGGTGATTCCTAGTAAGGTCCTTTAGACATTAGTGTGAGTTATCTAAGTACAGTCCTATGAAAATAACTGCTTAAAAATGTCAACTAAAAATCAGTAATTCATTTTATTCAATTAGAGTTAATTCCAAATTAAGCCATGTTACTCTGCTTCTTATTCATTAGTGATCAATTTGGTCTGAGTGAACATTTTTATATTAAAAAGGAAGTATTTACACAAAACTGTGCACAGCAGGCACATGATGAGATACATTAATGCATTATTTTCCTTGGTGACCAGTAATTTTCCTAAGAAAGGTTTTAACTTAATTATTTAAACAGTAGGTATTTTACAAATTTTTAAAAATCCTCTTGAATGTTTTCCATCTCCATTATGGAAAGGAGGATAAAGATCTCCTTTTACCTAACAGTATATTAATTATGTTAGTCTAAAAGAGGTAACAAAAATGCAAAGGCAAATTCTTTCGAAACAGACCTATTAATATACTAATGTCAACTGAATATTCCAGTTATGCAAACGGATAAATTTTTGTTTAAAGCAGAGAATCCCATTACACTGTACTATTGTAAATTATAGGAATATTAGAGCTTCTTCAATGAGGTTACTTTTCTTTAGAATCCAGATTTTATCAAATTATGACTTCCAGGACATGGTGTATCAGATGATAAAATTCTTAATTTTATTAGTTTATTTATCATGGATATTCACTACTATGCAATGATTGTCATAAATCCATTCCAGTAAAATTTAAGTTTTTGTTTTGTTATGTAGCCTATATTAGGCTGGAATTTACATATAGCTAACAGATAAGTAAACACAACTCATAATCAAGTTTTTAAATATTTTAAGGTCAATTAAAGAAAATGTTTTCCATATTTCCTGATACTAAAAATGTAATAAGTGAGTTTTAACTCAGTTCATCCTAAAAGTACATCTTATAACAAAAAGTCTGTTTGGAATCTGGTTCATTTGGACAATGAAGTTTTTTTTTTTTTTTTTAAATATAATTTCTGCTTTGTACATGTTCCAGAATTTTTTCCAGAATTTTAAAGTAACATTTTACCACACTTTATTTCTTTACAAATTGTAACTGTTGACATAAATCTGTTCCCACAATTTATTCTGAAGTTCAGTTAAGATGTTTTAAACATATTCTACCTATTACGTCCTTAAGTCTACTTTGAGGTTTTATTTCTGCTTTTGTGTTGGTAGGAGAAAATTTTCTGAAAGATCAAACTGGTTTATATACAACTAAGTCAAAGAATATCATAAAGTTCTATTTGATTACATTGTTTTAGCCTCTTTATATACACTGAAAATAGTGAATATTGAAAGAATGTGTGAATTTTGTTAATGTCTGTCTTCTAAAACATAAGCTTCTATTAATTCTTTTTATGGCGTACATGAACTTACAGTAGTTCTTATCTGGGATTCAAAAGAAAAGGAAGCTTTCTTTTTATTCTCAGCTTCTTTTCTACTTTAAGGATGTTTATCTTATATGGAAAAAGTTGCAAATTTTTGTTTTTAAATAAAACTTTCCTTCAAAAATTAAATGCTAACCTTTTGCTATGTGTAAGGTAAGAAAAGAGCAAATCTGAATTTTTGCTGCTCAGACATTATAGAGGATGTAGAAAAGGGGAATCTCTGTGGACAAGGACACTGGTACTTTGGGCTTTAGCCATATTCATTATTTTTAAAAATTACCAGTTATATAATGCATACATAATTTATATCATTGAACTTGTGATTCCTTTCAAGTCACACTGAAGGTTCAGACATACTCCTTTCACGTTCGGTCTAATGTTGTATGAATGAAAAACCTAAAAGGGATGATAGTGTTTATTTTTTAATTTATTTGGTACTGTAAAACATCTTTTCAGAATGAGTAAATGCTGCGTATGCATTTTGAAATTGTTAATATGTGAAAGATATTACAGATTCAGCAAGAAAGGAAATTTGTGCTTCCTTGTTGAATATTAAATTATTTTACTTTGCATTTTATAAGTACAAATTAAAACTGAGCCATTGAACTGCAATAAATCAACAAGTGTCTCATTTCAAGAAATTTTTGTACTGTACATAGATTTGTTCAATAAAACATTGTCCTTGTTGATAAAGCAAGTGTTCAGCTTTATGTAGTACACTGATTTTAAAAGAAATTAGGTTTATTTAAGGTGTATATTAAATGAGAATTTTGTTATGTCTTATAAAAGGATGGTATTTCAGCAAGTACTATATTTAAATTACTGAATGATTTTTAATATACAAAGTGGAGAAATCTCACAGTTTACATAAAATACATTTTTCACATTAATTAATACCTGTATGTGGGAATAACAGTTGATAGAATGCTGTTTACTAAATATATTACTATGCAAACCTGGTAAAGATTTAAAAAAATACCAGCATCCTCCAAAAGCAAGACAGTGGAGAGATTTTCTGGTGGAACTTAAAAAAAAATCAGTAAGAAAAAAAAGGAAAGACTAAAGTCACTGTAAAATTTTAGGATATGCTTGTCATGATCCGCACACCTGTATACCCATTTACTCTGGAAGCTGAGGCAGGAGGATAGCTTGAGCCCAGGAGTTTGGCGCTAACCTGGGCAAGAGAGGAAGACTTCCTTTCTTAAAAAGAAAAAGACGGAGGGTGCAGCTCAATTTTAGTATGTGTGCTTTGCATATGTGAAGCCCTGGCTTCAGTCTCTAAAACCAGGAAAAAACATCAATCATGATGAGAATTATTTCCTGCAAAGTATTTCAGTGGGGAAGTGACTAAGTCAGTAGCCTATAACTATAATGGATGTTCTTGTGCTTGAGGGATCTGTGGGTCACTAACAAAGGAAAAACCTATATGCTTTTCTTCCCTAAAACTTAAAACTGGAAAAGCAGGCTTTTAAGAAAAATAACATCTTTGTAGTGCAAATGAGATAGCACTTAAAGTGAAAGAATAAAAAATGAGATAGAATGATTTGTGCATAGCACAAACATGTTGCTTTGAAATAGAGTAAGTGATGAAGCATTCCAGTGCAGAGATCCAAAATTCTCAGTCTGATTTATGGCTTTCTGATCTTAACAGTAAATGTGATCAATTTGCAGAACAATGAATGTCTTAAGGTATATAGCACTTGTAGTTTGGGTAACTTTCCATTTTCCTTTTTGGAAACCTGAAAAATTTTGGGAAGAAATTTTACTAAGCACATTTCTAAGGTAACCAAATTAAGTCTTAGTATGTTTTATCCTGCTATAACAGAATACTTTACATTGAATAATGTACTAAAAGATTCATTTGGCTTATAATGCTGGTGGCTGCAAAGTCCAAACAGCGGTCTGCCACACTTTGAATACATCACTGTCATGAAGTGGACAAGGAACTGATGTGCAGAAGAGGCATGTGTGGTGAGCAGGAAAACAAGTGAATGGATTAGGTTCATCCTTTTTTTTTTTTTTTTTGGTTTTTCTCCGGTACCAGGAACCGAACTCACGACCTTGCGCTTGCCAGGCAGGCGCTTTTGCCGCTGAGCTAAATCCCCAGCCCAGGTTCATCCTTTTATAATGGACTGGAAACAACCCCGTCTCTCAAAAGATACCTTAACACATTCCTGCTGGCTTGAACCATCAGGTACATACATACATACGACTCTTCCATCTAGCAGCATGGGACAGTCCCATCAAGTACAAGTCATGCACATATGACCCTGGTAAGAACATGTTGATCCCTTTCAAGGGTTATGCCCCTGTTATCTGATCATTTCTTAACAGCTCCATTACTTTGACATATTGAGGACTGAAGTTTTCAACACAAGAAAGTTTGAAGGACACATTCAAATCCATACCCACACCAACAGAGCATAATATAAAATTATATTGATTTCAACAATCAGTGGGATACAGGTACAGAAATTTGAGCTATATATCTGGATTCTAAGTGGAGTCAATCCAGGGGCTGGGGATTTAGCTCAGTGGCACAGTGCCTGCCTGGCAAGCACAAGGTCGTGAGTTCAAGTCCCGTACTGGAAGAAAAACAAAAAAAATAAGTGGAGTCAATCCAATATTAAATAGAATAAAAGAGGTTTATCCCTGATTAATAGGTGTGATATACTGGGAAGAAATGGCTTGTCTTTTATTAAATGTGAGCACAGCTTTTGAGACACCAAGACTCAGATGTCACACAGCTAATAAACTGAAAAGGAGGAATGAAAAATCAGATGTGTCCTAAAACTATGTTTCCATTTGCCATTCACTTTCCCCTACAAATGTAGATCATAAGTGCATCTAATGTATCAAAAAAAAAAAAAAAAGGACCACACCTGCCTGAAAACCAGGGATTTCAAAGACAAAATGAAGTGGTATAGACAGACCTGATTGGTATTTCATTACCTTGTATTAGCAGTGATTTTAGGTATAGTCTTTAGAGCAGCAGAACTGGTAGTTAAGTCTTGCAAGTGATTCTTACAGAAACTAAGGTTTGAAAATTTAAAGCAAAACCATTCATATTTCCCTAGAAAGTAAACTGTTTACCCTTAAATTCATACTGCCATTTTAGAAACAATTTAGGACATTTAGTCTGCCATCTGTAGTGCTAAAATAACTACAGCAGGTTAAATAGATTTTCAGTCTACTAGACCAAATTGCTCTAACCTACCCTCATTCAAGAAGTATTCAGTGTAGAGCTCATTAGAAACAGCCAAAAAGATATGGAGATACCTAATTCTAGTATGGTAGTTTTAATGCTGTGGAGACCAACAATTACAAATATCCTAACTTCCTCATTTTAAAATAAGGACACATCTGTAATCCCACCTATTCAGGAGGCTGATGCAGGAGCCTGAGTTCCAGGCCAACCTAGGCAACACAGCAAGACTTTGTTTCAATTAAAATAAGACAGCTATTATTGCAAGGTTATAAGAATTAAGTTTGGTGTGGAACAGTTCTTGTTATGATGTGGCTAAATTTCTCTTCATATTTTGGTCACTGTATCTTCAGTCACACTGAAAAAGTTTTTTTTTACTTTCTTGTCTTTGAGACAGGGTCTTGCTGTGCAGTTCAAGCTAGCCTTGAGCTCACTTTGTAGCCCAGGCTGGTCTTGAACTCGAAATGATCCTCCTGCCTCAGCCTCCCAAGTGTTAGGATTACAGGCATGAGCCACCACACCCAGCGAAAATCATAATGGGTAAGAAATCCTCATAATGCTACTTAATTCTATACACTTTTTACTACTGATCCTTTTACAGATAATTCTTTACTTCTCTTCCTGTCCCTCACTCTTAGATTTAATCATCCTTAAGCATTGCACATGCTACAAAAAGCTTGATCTCTTGCTATTTCCCCATTAAAATCTACTTCACTCAGTATTTCTGTTAGTAAATGACAGCTGTAGGGAGTCTCCCCAAAACTTCCAGTAATCCCTGACTACCATATCCTTCACTGGAACTGAAGGCACCATCTTCTCTCATACAACTATTATACAGTCTTCTAATTGGGCTCCCTTTCCTTTATCTTGTCTTTCTTCAATCTATTCTTCATAGCAGCAGCCAAGTGGCCCTGCTTGAAACAAGTCAGATCATTACATTCTTCAACTTAGTGCATTCACAACCTACCATGTGCCAGGCTTTGTCATAGGCAATGGAAAAACAGAAATAAAAATCATTGCCTCACAAAGCTACAGTGGGTGGGGAAGGAGGAGAAAAACCATACAGTTTAAGTAGTATGGAGATAAAGTGGTAAGAAAAAAGAGTAAGCGAAGGGTTGATCATGACTAAAAAAGATGATGCAGCAAGGCCTTTCATAAAGTGATTTATTCTAAGTATTGGGGTTTGAAACCAGGGCCTTAAAACTCTACTATATCCTCTGCCTGCCCCCCGCTTTTAAGTTTGAGATAGCTTCCCTAAATTGCTAAGTAGAGTAGCCCAGGCTTTGCTTGAACTTGTGATCTTCCTTCCTCAGCCACCCAAAGGGATGGAATTACCATACCTAGCTTGATAAAGTAACTTTGAACCAGGGACTTGAATACTGTAAGGGAATATCTAAAGGGAGATAAAGAGAAAAAGAAACAGAGAAAAATAGGAAAGTCAGAGGTAAAAACTAAAGCCAAAATCTATAGCCTAAAGTCTAGATCAGCACTAAAACAGCAGCCATTAGCAACATGTGACTATTAAAATTTAGATGAAATGCAAATAAAATTTGAAATTCAGTTCCTCAATTTCACTGGTCACATTAAAGATTTCTGTAACTTCATGTGGGTAATGGTTACTGTATTGGTAGCATGAAGAACATTTTCATCATCTCATTTGACAAGTTGCTCTATAACAACCTCAGCGAACAAACATTTAACAATACTTGGAGCTAGTCTGCATTCTAAAACTGAAAGGAAATGGTATTACCTAGTGGCAACACAAAGCCAGAGGTGCAGGCAAGCACACTAGAATGCACAAGATAATTCTGTTGTGACAAACACTAGCTGGATGTGCTCTAATTCAATACAATTCAGATACCACCTACTTCGAGTTAATATCAGATCCCACAGGTGGAAGCTCAGCTCCAAGACTGTGTCCCTTGGGCAGTTTGTTTCTCCTGTGCTTCTAACCAGCTATAAATGGAGATCTTCAAAACCTCCTCCATGGGTTCAGTTAATCTGAGTCCACACAACTTGGAAAGTTTAATGTACTGATTTATTATTTTAAAAAATTACAAAACAAAGGAAAAATTGCATTCTCCAGCTTTGGAAGAAGAGGCACAGAACTTTCATGCTCTTTCTGTGACCAATCAGCCATGGATTCTTTAGCCCAATGCAGATAGGAAATTGGCATGTCACTGGTTAGACTTAAGGAGGTTCTACGAAGATGAAATAGGGGCCCCAACTTGCCTCCCCTTTGGAGTAGGTTTTTTGACTCTTGTCATGCTTTGTGTTAAGATATCCCCCTAGTCTCACGTGGTCATAGGTGGGACTTTTTCAGAGTGAATCTAAAGTGTGTAATGCTGGGGTTAAGGGTGTGTGCTTACTGAATCAGTCCATGATTGGTTTGGCATCACTCTAATCCTGGTAGCATAGAGTATAAAAGGGGCAGAAAGAAGTTGCTAAGGCCCCTTGTTTGCTTTCCTACCTTCTACCTGCCATGAACTGTTTCTCCTCTGTAAATGCCTGTCTGCCATGCTGCCCTGCCTTGGACCCAGCCAATGATGGACTGAAACTTGTACAAACTGTGAGTCAAATAAACCTTTTCTCCCTTTAACTGTGAGCATCAGGCATTTTGTCTCAGCAATAAGAAAAATAACTAAAACATCTGTCATACAAAAAGAATTTCATGCCTTATCAGTGAGAGACATAGGCAGATGTGGTAGGCATTTAGGAAGTATGAAAAATTAGTGTTAGCTTAATGATATAAAGGAGGCACAGGTCTGATGACAAGAATCAGAATGGTCCATTAATAAAAGAAGGGATGAGCTTTTATGGCTTTGCTTGGGTAGGTTGCAGGCTGGACATTTCCATTGGGTCATAACTATGGCATATTTATTTATTTATTTATTTTTGGCTCCATATTTGAGAGGATTTCCTTTCTGTGGAATATAGATTAGTGGCAATTCTCACCCTTGGCTACATCCTGACCTTTCCTCTGATGTTACAGTGAACCTGGTCTTTGCAGTAAAAGGAGATAAATAGAGGGCACATTCTACACACTGTTAGAAAAGGAGGATGGAGAAAAAGACATATACCCACCTTTAAAGAGTAATGGGTCATGGGTTAAAGCCTCACAATCCAAGTCTCTTGTTTCATCAGGGTACCTGTCCTTTTTTATCCAGATGTGCCAAACTCTATGAGCTTTCACATGTTCCGCTATCCAGAAGCTCTCTAGACCCTGTCCTTTTGAGTTTTTACGGAGAATTCATTGCATAGGCATGACCGAAGAATGGATAACCACATCAAAATGTGATTGGATAAAATGGGTATGATCGAATGATAACAAAATGAATGCAGAAATCCAGCAAGAGGCCTTGCTTAAGCATTCTTGGCCTCCCTGTGCAGCATTCTTCCCTCAAGGTTATTAGGCAGGGCCCTTCTAGAATAAGAGGGTCTTAAGACTTGACTATCAAACATGGTTGGATCAGACATTTTGTGGCCAGCTCTTAGAAATGTAGGCAAAGATTAAAATTTTAATGATGGGTGTTGGGGAAAGAAGATTTTTGTTTCTATGCCCTGCCTGAGGATGGCAATTCTGAATTGCCATCCTCAGGCAGGGCATAGAAACAAAAAT